ACCCTTTGGGGCCTTTGATTCCACTTGGAATTGGAGAGTTGATGAAGATAGTAAAAACTCAAGATAGAATTTCTCTACAATGTATCCACCATCAAGAGTAAAGCATTTTGGAATGCTAGTTCTAATTTTGTATGAAGTACTCCTTAAGCCTTAAGTGTTTAACAAAATTAATCACTAACGGAGAAGCACTTTAGAACACCAACACTTTAAAAAAAACTTCAAAAGAAAAGCAAGAGGATAAGGGAGAGAAAAGCTACGACTTTATCTTATTTTATAAGGAAAATATTAACCAAAATGAAATCCTAACACTCTTATTTATACTTACATGCAAGACTTAAATCCCATACCACAATAATTCTTACACTCAAGTCCCAAATATGTATCCCAAGTCTAAGAATGCAGAGATACTACATTTATCAAACATTACTCATGACTATGATCCATAAAGTGATTTTGATGCAGGTCATCTCTAATATTTTTGTCTAATCAAGTACCTGAAAAAGTTGTTAGGAACTCTTTGTTATTTTCATCTCCATGAAAATCAAACAATCCATTCATATTAGTCTTACTCATAGATGTCCCCACAACTATGAATGACTATAAACATTTAGAATAACTAGGTTATTCAAGGATTAAGCATGCTAATAATGAACATAACAATTTTTTAATGAAAAAAACTATATCTAACATATCAAGTCATAAAAATATATGTTTCTTATATTTTTCCAATATCCAAATACTAAATTTCAATCAAATATATTCACTTAGAACAACAAGGTCCTATAGCACCAACATGACTTTCATGCTTTAGCTAATGAAGGAACTTTGTTAAGTAGATTCGACAAACTTGATTTGTATAAACTTTCCGAATACAAACATTTTTTTGTTTTATATATATATATATATATATATATATATATATATATATATATATATATATATATATATATATATATATATATATATCCCGTATATAAAGAAAACTCTTGAGAATGTATTAAATGCTTAAATATGACTTAAATTCGAATACTTGTGTAATGTGATTACTCATAGCCATAAATGAACTAAACATTTAAGCATCTTCATATGTGGTTTCTTGAACAACAATGTATTTTAACTGTATAGTGTAACTTCAATTAAAATCTTCATGGAATTCCCATCCATGTAATTTTTCCTTTGTTTATAATGAGGACATGCCCGATTATGATTAATGACACTCTCAATCTATTTGGAAGTTTGCATCTTTGTAACAGATTACACTTAGCTTTTTTTTAAATACTTCGCAATTTAGGAATATTTCTCCAGTTCTTAGTAAGTACTTTAGAATGTTCCTATCAATCATACCATGACTTATTCTTGGATTATACTTATATTTATCCTCATGCTCCAGGTATATGCTTTATCTTTCCTTTATGGATAAAATAACATATATAATGAATCCAATTGTAGTAGCAAATGAAATACAACCATATTATCTAGTTCAACCATTGTATTATGATTTTGAGGCATGCTCAAAAACATGTCATGTGGTATTGACAAGATAAACTCTCTTATATTCTTATTTCCTGAACTCTTTAAGATCCTTAGCAATTAATGTAATTGTACTTAGTCTTTTATGTTGATATGATCTATCTGAGTAGATCTTAATTCCAAGAGTTAGTATGTTAGTCACATATAAGACCATGAATGTTATTGTGCTCCAACTAGCTTTTTAGAAAACACAAGAGTCATCTTGATTTATAAATAAATCACATTATGCAATTTTCTTATAAGAAAAAAGATTCTTACTTCGAGATGTTGGCTATAAATCTAAAAAGATTTTCATCCATGCATGTTTTCTCCTTTGAAAACTCATTTACTCTTTATAGCCATATTATATCGAGGAAGATTAATCAAGTTCATACTTGATCATCATATATGAATACATATCTATGTGTTATATTAGTTTTTGATCAACTATTGAGCATGTTCAACATCTATTGAAAAAATTGCTAGTTTCAAATTATATGTCTTCTGGAATGACAATCAGTGGGATCGTAGAAAGTTTATCCTAAATTATCATTTAGGATAGTCTACATAAATGTAATTAGTAGATTACAGGTTGAGATAAGATTCTTTTCTAAGATAAGCTCCATAACTCTATACCTTTTAAATAAGGATAAAACATTTCATCGTTAGTCTAATGTCAGTATTTAATATACTTACTTGGCTAGATGTATATATTCAATATATATTTTTTGCACTGAGCATAACTCAAAAATATATAAATGAAATAGTTCTTTAAAACATCATATAGAATACTATAAGGTCTGATTTATCCTCTTCAAAAACTTGTAATATCAACACTCAACCAGTGGCAAGGTGACCCTATCACACTAATGAAAATGAAAGTTACCTCGAACATCATAAGACAAAATCCAAGCAACCAGGTGATCATGTGCCACAATGAACAATACAAATGACGAGTGCGTGTTATTTGATGAAATGATTTATGAAAAAATTCCACAACTTATAAGATGTTCCAAGAAGACTTGGTTTAAAAACACATTTTCTTTATTAGAACCAAAAGGTTTATGATAGTCTTATTGAGTTTGTGAGAACTAAAGATTTGTGTGGACAAGGTTTGAAAACTCAAACCTTGTGTTAAATAATGAAAATGGTTGCTTCTAATATAGAGTCCAGTGAAATCTAGATAAACCAATTAAGCCTTGAAGAATATAACTCAACGAAGTGCTAAAAAATAAGTAAAATGAAGTATGAACAATGAATAGCAAATAAGAACAAGAATAATGTAAGAAAGAAATGATTGACTAAATAATTCTTAATTAGACTGAAGTGAAGTTGCTACAAACGTTACTCTAATCCTCTTCTATTTACAAAGCTTGACACTCCTTTTATACCAAAGGAGTTACATAATACAAAATCAAGAAAAGTGCACATGGACCGAAGACCAACAACCTGACATAGCCGTTGTTGTAGGTATTTCCAGTTGTACAAAACAAGATAACAAGCACTAAACAACATTATGTACTTTTACTCTTAACATTTCACTTTAAACTAAACTTCGGAAACACCTTGAAATCTGAACTCTATTCTTCTCGAAAATTTCTTCATTTCGGAACATACATCGTCTCGGAAATGAAATGAAATGTCCCAAAACTCAATACCAAATTTTTTTGTTTTTATATTAATTAAATCACAATCAAACATGTTTATCTAGACCATAAAGCACTCATAAAGTATCCATAAACATCTCAACTGTACATCAGAGTAAATAAGCGGAAAATCATGGTGTGTGCAATGCGATCATCCCGAGCTCTTCCCCTTCGAATCGGAAGTACCTGAAACATAAACTACAAACCGTAAGCACAAAGCTTAGTGAGTTCCCCAAAATACCGCATATCATACATATACGTTAGCTTAAGGTTTTATTGAGTATATTTCACCCCCCTGAGTCTATTTCAACTCATATGTCAGCCCAAGATTGTACCGGATCTATTTCACCCTCGAGTGTATTTCAACTCATATGTGAGCACCAGGCTGTACCAGGTCTATTTCACCCCCACATACCCTAGGAGTCATAAATACTACAAGCACATACAATCCTTAATGTCCTACAATATAGCGAGCAAGCTCACCACAGTCTGCTGACAATCGAATAAATGCTTAGGTTACTGAACTGAAGAATTCCCGCACTAACCAATCAAATAAAACCCTAAATAATAATTAGGTCATAAACCATAATCGAGACTTTAATCAATTAATCCTGGCTCCCGGGGTAAATGACCATTTTACCCTTCCCTCAATTAGTCCAATAGCCGTGGCCCAAACTCAATGGCATAAAAAGCCAAATAGTGGCCCAAATCCTAAAAGGCACTTAAGGCCCAACATGGGCCCAAATCCATGGAGGCCCATCGCCTAACAGTAGCCCAATATTAGAAAGACTTATGGCCTAACAAGGGCCCAAAACCCTAAAGTGCAATAGCGGCCCAAAAATCAAAAGCTCGTTCTGGTCGAGTACGCTAAGCGTACCCCTAGTACGCCCGACATTCTAGGTTGCTACATAAAGTCGGGATCCAGACGCGTACGTGCAGCGTACACTTGCTTACGCCCAAAGTACTCCCTTATTAAACTTTTTTGTCAATTAAGCACCTAATACTTAAGACCAAATGTCCATATTTTAAACCCAGACCTTGGGGAACGTCTTAATCCATAAAGTCACTAACTTTGTGGCTTTTCATGGCTCCAATGGACTCAAACCTTAGATTTAGAATCCTACTTTCACGAAATGGACATATACTCATGCATGGTTGATCCTTAACCATCAAAATGCTAACTTTATGGAGTAAGGATCTCATAAACATCAAGAGGAGGAACTCATAACTTCTGGAGTGGCAAATTCCCATTAGATCTCATTCATGGGACCAAAAAGTGACCAAACCTCTACTAGATGTAGATCTAATCATAAAATGGGCAAGGTTAAAGCTTTATACCTCTATGAAGATGGAAATTATGAATGGAATCTGAATCTACAAGCTCCTCCTGTAATGTTTAAGAATTGAGTTATGAATATGAAATCAAACTCTAAAAGCAATAAGAACATGATACATAAATAAGATCTGGTTGGATCAATAATCATCTGTAAGAGTACAAGAGTTCGTGAGAGAGTACAAAGTATAAGTTTCGACTTCTCACTAAACATTTCACACCCTACAATCTCCCCCTTAGTGAGAAAGGTCGAATTACGCCACTAGCTTCATAGTCTAAAGAAGTACATCACGAACCTGCATACTCAAACTTGTCAACTGCATCATTCCTTTTGCAATTTTTGAGTTGAACAAGAAGGCTTGTATATTGAGAATTCATATACCTCTATAGATCGCATACTTGAAACAAAAACTTAATCATTTTCCCATTCTTGTTCTTTCTTAGGAAAACAATTCGAAGAGGTTGATGCACAATCTCTCCATCAACATATTTGTCGAGATCAATATTCCCTTTCAACAGTGACTAAAGAACCTTAGAGGTCTTTTTAAATTCCATTGATAGCTCAATATCAGTGATTGAGAGACAATATCGGAGTTATAAATCTCATAACTCTTCTTTGGTGCTTTGCAAAAATAATCAAACTTCGTATCTAAAACAATTTCCTCAATGGTTTCATAACACCAATGCTTGTTGGGATCACCCTTATTCAAGCCTGGTGGGTCATTCTGCCTTCGCCTTAATATACTATTGATTTGCCTTGGCCTTTTGATCTCCAAGGCCTGTTGCTTTTTCTTCTGTTTTTCTAAAGGAGTCTTATCAATACCTTTTCCTTTATCACCTTGAGTGTTTTTCGAAGTTGGTGGCATAGACCTCGAACCAGAACCTCTAGAACTTTCATTAATGATAACCCCTTTCACACTTGGCCTTGTTGTGGTGGTTGTCAAAGTTGTTGTTAATGAAATTAGAAGTGAAGTGGCTATCTGAGTGGACATCACCTTTCCAAAAACTACTCCTTTATCTGTATCTTTTGAATACCCAATGCATCCACATCCTTTATCTCCCCCTTTTGACACTTGCTTTGCAGGTGGAGCATTAGTTAGTAAGAGAGGAACCAACTCAAGGATAGGAGCTAGTTCAACTTCGAGATTAGTTTTGAAAGGCGAATTCAAATGAGAGATTTATCTTAATGAAACAGAAGACTGATTTGAAATAGCATCATTCAAAATCGATTCCTTAATACCAATGAAGAATTCCTCCAACTGTGTAAATACCTTGGAATCCTTGCCTGACTTCTCATCAAGTTGAGTCGAATAACTAATATTGTATTCAACCAACTTTGCCATAGTATCAGTAATAACATCAACTTTCCCATATAAGGCAGAGTAATTTTTATCTATCATCTGAAGATCTTTGGCCATCTCCAATTTCAGTTCAACCATCTTGAGATTCATAGACTCTTACACAGTCTTCACTTGCTCAACAAAAAGTTCATGACTGTAACATCCGTTAATTAAGATAATATTTATTTTTATAATATTTGTAATTTATTTATTGGGATATGCAATAAGTAATGGATTATTGAGTGGAATTTAGCAAATGGGCTGATAAGCTTGGCGTATGTGGGGCGTAGTGCAACATTGGATGCTGGGGGTGGAGGTGCGTACACGCAGCGTATGCAAGTAGACTCAAAACCCTAATTTTTAGGGTTTGAGCCATATAAATACAATATTATGACTCAAACCCTAGCCTCCTTACCAGCCTCTCAACCTCAAAAACCCTAGATAGCCTACAGACCCGGCCCTATACATGAGCGACTGGGGATCAAGCCCAGGGAATCAAATTATTGAGGGCATCAAAAATAGTCCAACTAGTTGTATATGTATATAAAATTGGCTCAAAAACTTAGCCCATGGTGATGATCTGTTTACCAACGTCGTGAGAAAGAAAGCTAGGGCAGACGTGCCAATTTCAAGCAATCATCGATTTGCTCATAGAAAAATCAAACATCACCAATGACTAGAAGGATAAAATCCCGTTGGTGTTGTTGTCGATGCTAGAAATCAATGCCTACCTAGAACGTCTCTCATAAATAAAAAGTAAGAATGGATTTCTCTTTTGTTTCCTTCCAATCGAATAATCGATAGTATATACCTCTCAAATCTCAATTTAATCATTCTCAGTCGACCTTTCATCCGATAAAGCAACGATTTCTCTAATTTGGTATGGTTTTCTCTAATTTGATACAACGAAAGGCGATTCTGAATTTCTGATTTTGTAGTTCACTGATTTGGGTGTGATTCGTTTCTTGTTGGTTATTTAAGAAATCAGATTTAGGTGAGTTCAATCGAAACTTGTGTTTATTTTAGTTTTTTCAGTATCTACTTGATTTATTATTCATTTGATGATCTGATTTCTTCTCTATTTCATTACAAGAAAAAGTAGTCAAAGTCACAAAGAGTTCATTCTAAGTTTTCTATTTCAGAAGTTATATTTATGTTTCAGTCTTTCAGAAATCAAATCAAATTTATCCTCTGTTTGTGTTTGTGCTCGATGTTGTTGTTTCAGAAATCATCAAATCATATTTGGTTAAGTTTAAACTCGAAATCTGTTTTTATGTAGGTTTCTTTCAGAAATCTGATTAATTTCATATATATTTGATTTCTTCTCTAAGACTTATTGGTTTTTGTCTCTAATTTCTCAATTGTTTTGAAATCAGATTTAGGTGATTTTTGTATTGTTTTCTCCAAGTTTGAGCTCAGAAATCAGATTTGTATCTGATTTCTTTATTCTTTCAACAATTAGATTTGTATATATTGTTTTAGAAATCAGATTTTAAGAATTTGGTGAGTTTAGTTTTGAAATTTGTTTGTGTTCATTGTTCAATATTTTTTGTATAAACAATCTTTCTAAACTTTGTGTTATTGTTTATGTGATGTGAAGATAAACATTCTTTCTAAATCTGAATCTGATTGTAGAGGACTTGTTTCAAGGGCATCCCATAAGTAAAAGAAACTTGAAGGAGTTATTTGGGGACACCCCATCACATGTAGTTGCAGGGGCAGTGCTTGGGATCCCAGTTGCTTGTATTTGTTGTAAAGGTTGCTTTGGTGTGATCTAATTCCATGTAAGATTGTTTTGTTTTGAAAACAACTTTGTTTGATTTTGGTGGATTGATTAGTTATGTATAAAACAAGACATAAGTCGTTATATTATAATCCTAAAAAAAGTGCAAAGCAAAAGTTTGTTGTTAGTTTCTTATTCTTCGGTTGAGATCATAAAAGAACAACATATTGTTTTTTAAAAAACTAACCCATTTGATTTTTTTATAAACCCCATCCATTAATTATCAAGTTTGATATTGATAAAACAAGATATAAGTTGTAGGTTTTTGTTTGTATAATTTTTTTATTATAAAGTTTTATTGCATTTTTGTTTATAAAATTTTTTCTTTATACGTTTTCTATATAAGGGCATAAAAAATTTATTTCGCCCTGGGTATCAAAAATCAATGAATCGGCCCTGATAGCCTCTCATCCTTCATCCTTGTGTGTTTTTTGCTTTGTGAAGTTTTTGGTGGTGTTTAGAAGCTTGAAATAATAAAGAAGAAGTTGAAGAAGAAGAACTTGAGTAGCTTGAGCTCAAGGATCCGAGATAACATCACCATTTGGCACTCATTTGAGGTAAAAAGATTTCAACTTGCCTCATGAATGCTTAGATCTATGTTAATGGAGTTTTGGACCTTTTTAGGTCCCCAAGAATGGATTTTTATGGTTTAACTTCGTATCTAGGCTTAGGATTGCCACCCTTAGTGCTATATAAGTTCCATTAGCGGTAAGGTTTTGATCATTAAGGTCCTTTTGTGATCATGCATGATTTCTAGCCATTTCCATGGAAGTTAGTGCTATATTCCAAGTTTGGGTCCATTTGGTGGGTTGTAAGCCACCAAGTAATCGACTTTATGAGTGAAGACATGTTAATGGACTCAGATCTGTAATTTGGACTTAAGGTCTTGAAGGATTAAGCACTTTTTGAGGAACATGGCTTAACATTGTAGTACATTGGGCATACAATGATACAAGCCATGTATCATGTACACTTAGCGTACAGAGGAGTATGCCCTGCGTACTCACAGTTTTGGGCTTCATGACATTTTGGCCTCGAGTTGAGTCAAACTTTGGACTTCTTAGCTTTTGGGCCTTAGTGGGCCATCAGGAGTCAGTTAGTAGACTAAGGACATGTTTGGGCTTAAGGGAAGGCCCATTTGAGTAGTTGGGCCCAATTTAGAAAATTGGTTCATTAGTGGGCTTGGAAAGATTAGATGGAATTGGGCCTTGGATACGGTCTAAATTAGACTAGGGGTAAAATGGACATTTTACCCTAAGAAGGATTATGGATTTTGACTAAGTGTTGTTGTGATAATGATAGTCAGGGAGTCGTTGGAGCAGCTGTTGGAGATTCCTTACCGTGAGATTACGCATTCAGCTTGCGAGGTGATTTTCCTTCTGTAGGAACGGGTCGAAGGCACCCATACCGGACCGTTTATGTATGTTAGTGTATGCCAGACCAAGATCTGATGTCGAGTAGTGCCCGATGTAGGTTTATATGTTTCCAGACTTCGGTCTGATGCCGGGGAAAGCTTTAGGAATGTTTGTATGCTTGATGTCTTTGTGATTCTTGCATGTGCTTGTTTTATATGTTTCTGGACTTTGGTGTGATGTCGGGGTAACCCCGAGGAATGCTTATATGTTTATGTTATATGTTTCTGGACTTGGTGAAGTCAAGGCAATCTTTGAGGAAAGTACGGATAAATGTGGAAGGTAGTATGGGCCCGTACTGCTGAAAGTAGAGGATCTGTACTCGAGTCAAGGAGGGTTGAGGTAGAACCAGGGAATTTGTAGAGTGTGTGAGACCTCTCGAGGTTATGTATGACCATGATGATTATGTGTTTTGTTCAGAATGGTGGTGACACGTCACTAAGCAGGAGGTCCAAGGTCTGGGTCAGGTTCAGGTTCGGGTGCAGGTTTCGAGCCGGTTGATGACGGATGATGTGAGTTTATTGCATATGAGATTACGAGAGGCATCCTTAAGGTGACCCCGGTGATTTTCAGGTCGATCAAGCAAAGGATCATTAATCTGATGGAAGATCGCCTTAGGGCATTCCAGAGTGACATGGCATCTGGCCAGTCAGGGACGCGCACACTCTCCTTCAAGGATTTCATGGGATGTGGTGCGTCAGACTTTCAGGGGGTGAAGGACCCTATTGTGTCCAGGAGATGGATTGCAGACATCGAGTATGCACAGTTGACGAGCTTCTGCCATGAGGGGTCGAAGGTACGGTATGTTGCGAGATGTTTGAGAGACAGAGCTAGAGACTGATGGGAGGCAATTAGTGACACGTTAGGAGCCCCAAACTTTAAGTCTATGACTTGGTCGGACTTTGTGACTGGGTTTATGGTTGAGTTTGCGCCAGCTGTGGAGATTCAACAGCTAGCAGCAGGGAGTTTCTTGATATGAGACAGATGACTGATTTAGTGGCGGAGATTACCGCCAAGTTCACGGAGAGGGCCTTACTGGTGCCTCAGTACGCGGGTGATGAGGAGATGAGGAAGATTCGGTACTATGATATGTTGAGAGCTAACATCTGAAAACATGTCAGCTACTCGGCATGCCCGAATTTGGAGGATATGATAGCCAGGGAGAGAGAGAGGGAGAGAGAACGAGAGAGAGAGAGAGAGGGAAATTGATAAAGAGCACATCCATAAGAGGAAGGAGAAGGCTGGGAAGGTGACTGGGGTTTCTGGGTAGAAACCCAAGGGAGTCGACTTGAGGTCGAAGGGCCAGCAGGGCCAGAGCCGTTGTGGGAAATGCGACAAGATGCATGAGGGAGTTTGCAGATTAGGGTCGTTCGGCTGCTATAAGTGCAACAAGCTTAGGCACTTTGGCAGGGATTATACTGCCCTACCCCCACCCTTCAGTCATCAGATCTGATTTGCTTTCATTGCAATCAGAAGGGGTATAAAAAGGCCAACTGCCCAAGATTGACATCAGGAGCATAGTGGCGGTGCCAGCTCCAGTGACCCTGCAGATCACAGATGACTGACAGGGCAAGACAGATGCTCCAGTGGTGAGGAGTCGAGCTTCCAACTGACCACCGAGGAGGCGCATGCCACACCAGATATGGTGACGGGTATGTTTTCTTCTCCCTAACTCTTATTAAATGTTGGTTATGATATTTATGTTCTATGTTTTATGTGTTTTGTTTAGGATCGTTCCATGTGAACAGTATCCCAGTACGAGTGTTATTTGACTCGGAGGCTACCCGATTAATTGTCTCTCTTGCACTCAGTAAGAGGTTTGCTGAGTCTTAAGGCATGTGGGATTGTCCTTTAGAGGTCGACATTGCTGATGACCGGTTCGTCCGGGCATCTGAGGTCTAAAG